ATTTTGAAATAAAATTTTAGAACATGATTATTTTATTTTTTAATATATTATTATAATTTATATGATAGATTTTTATGGCTTTTAAATGATAATAACATAGTTGCGCGTGCGCATACACACACATATAATCAATTAAAAAATAGAATCCTTAGGTTTTATTATTTTTTTAATATATAATCAAAATTTATTAGAACTTGATTTTTTCCCCATTTATTTTTCATTTAATTGTTTGTATGCCATTAACAAATTGTCTTATATTATTTTGTCATCCTTTGCTTGTTTTTTTTTCCCTGTCTTCATGCCCTTTTTTTTTTTTTTTGTCATTTTCTTTTTATGTTTTCCAAAGCATTCAATGCCCCACATTAATGGCTTTTTTACGCTTTTTTCCAGAAAATGCATGTATAGCTCTTTCAGCTTACATTTCTTTTTTTTTTTCCATACAGTTTGAAAATGATATATATATATATATATATATATATATATATATATATATATATATATATATATATATGTTTTTAAATTTTATGTTTAACATATATATCATATTATACTACTTTTATTGTTTAATTATTTTAAATTATCAAAAAATTAATTTTTTAAAAATTTTTTGATATATATATATATTGAAATAAAATTTTAGAATTTTATAATTTTGAAATAAAATCTATCATATAAATTATAATAATATATTAAAAAAATTCTAAAATTTTATTTCAAAAAAAATTTATGTATATATATATATATGGCTTTCAAGCTAAAAGTGTCTTGGATAATTTTGCTTAATTCTTTTAAAATATTTAAATAATCAATTAAAAAATAGAATTCATGGGTTTTATTTGTTTTTAATAAATAATCAAAATTTATTAAAACTAATTTTGTAATAGTTTTTATTTCATTCTATTCACTTCAATATATTACATAAAGCTTATGTGGTTTTTTATTTATGCCATATATTCTTAGTTCACATATCCATATATATATTAAAAATTAATTATGTATCTACACATATAACACTAATTATTCGTTAGTTATTCTTTTTCATAATTTAAAATCAATATTTTTCAAATAAAATGATAATATTTTGAAAGATCCTGCTAATTTTTTAAATATAATTTTTTATACCAATATTATTGATTATTTTGTTAATAAATAGATATGAATCAAATGATTTTGTTCAATAAATAAATTTGATTTATATTAATCACTCGAAACAAGATTTTTATCCGTATCATATTATGCGAATCGTTAATCCTACTCGTGTAACGATTGTTTGACCGTAATAATGTAGCGTGGATATTTGACTAATAGCATGTTAAAACCTAAGTTACTGATACTTTTATAATAATACGGATGAAATCAACTAATTACAAATATAGTATTTTATAGTAAAGTAAATGTCGATAAATTCGGCAATTTTAAGCATGTGCATAATCACTGTGTAGACATCTATCATTGTCCACAAGGATTGATGCTTCCCTTTGTCTTTATACTTTTCTTGCTTTTATGCCATTAACAAATTGTCTTATATTATTTTGTCATCCTTTGCTTGTTTTTTTTTTCGCTGTCTTTATGCCTTTTTTGTCATTTGCTTTTTGTGTTTTCCAGAGCATTCAATGCTCCACATTAGCAGCTTTTTTAACACCCCCACCCCCCCCCCCCCCCAGAATGCATGTACAGAGCTCTTTCACCTTACTTTTCTTACGGTTCGTTTAATTTTTTTGCTTTTGATTCAATAATTTTTTTTTGTACGTACGTAACATATTGTGAGCTATTAAATTAAGTGTAAAAATTATAAAAAATACATCTTTATTTTTTTGAGTTTTCTGTATAGTTTCACGGTGATATATATTATTTAAAACATATTTTTTTAATTATCGTTTTTTATTCAAATTCTCGTCACATTATTATTTTTTTAATTTTTTGATATGATTATATATATATATATATATATATATATATATATATATATATATATATTGAAATAAAATTTTAGAATGTGATTATTTTATCTTTTTTAATATATTATTATAATTTATATGATAGATTTTTATGGCTTTTAAATGATATATATATATATATATATATATATATATATATATATATATATATATATATATATATATATATATATATATATATATATATGCTAAAAGTGTAACTTGGATAATTTTGCTTAATTTTTTTAAAATAATTTAATAATCAATTAAAAAATAGAATTCATGGGTTTTATTTTTTTAATATATAATCAAAATTTATTGAAACTAATTTTGTAATAGTTTTTATTTCATTCTATTAACTTTAATATATTGCATGCAGCTTATGTGGTTTTTTATTTATACCACAAACTCTAAATCTATTGAATATGATCATAATGTGTGAGTGTGTGTGTGTATATATATATATTGAAAATTAATTATGTATTTGCACACATAACACTAATTATTTGTTATTTATTCTTTTTTATGTTCTAAAATCAATATTTTTCAGCTAAAATGATAATATTTTGAAAGAACCTCCTAATTTTTTAAATAAAATTTTTTATACTAATATTATTGATTATTTAGTTAATAAATATATATAAATCAATCAAATAATTTTATTCACTAAATAAATTTAATTTATATTAATCATCAAAAAATAAGACTTTATCTACATTACGTCATGTGAATAATTGATTCTATTCATATAACGATTGTTTGACCATAATAATGTAGGGTGGATATCTAACTATTAGCATACTAAAACCTAAGTTACCGATACTTTTATGGTAATACGGATGTAATCAACTGGTTCGAAATATAATATTTTATGGTAAAGTAAACGTCCAGAAATTCGGTAACTTTAAGCATGTACATAACCACTTTATAGACATCTATCATTGTACACAAGGATTGATGCCTCCCTTCGTCTTTATACTTTTCTTTTTGTGTTTGAAAAGTCTCTTTACTATTTTTTGTTTTAGTATATTTCTTGAACGTTATATATTTCAATGCTATTGCACTCTTCCGTCAGTTTATTTTACTAACGTTGTTAAAATCTGGCACGTGACAACATGAGATTTTTCATTGATGTACATTTTGGTCTCTTTTTGAAAATTTTAATTGTCTTTTATTTTATTTTTCTTACTAAAAAAATCCTTAATTGACAATTTTTTGTTATCATATTTTACAATAAATAAAGTCGAGTCCCTAAATTACTTTTTTTTAATTATGTCCCTACATGTCAAATAAAGTCGATCAAAATTCAGATGATATATATATATAACAAAATCACGGTATCAACCACAATAATTAAAAATTAATCATATTTGATCAATAAATCTAATCAAACAAAAATTATTAAGTTTAGGGATTGAGTTACTATTTGAAATAAAATTCATTTTCTATCTTTTGTACTTATATATGTCAAGATATTGTGATTATGTTATGTAAAGATAGGCTGATTAACATGTACATGATGAAAGAGAGTTAAATTGATATATTTGGTTTTATAAGGATTTTTTTTTTGAATATTTATTTTGTGAGTATAGAATTATTGTTGTTAGGTTATTAAAAAAATAATATGAGGAAAAACAAATTAAAACTAAAGAAAAAATACTTCATATATCTAAGATAATATGAGAATTTTGACCAAATGTACTATTTGTAGGAACCAAAATGTAGATGAACAAAAATTTTATGCTGCCACGTACCTAATTTTAATGTTATTAGTAATGTAAACTGATAGAAAGGTATAATGATGACGAAAATATTAACCCATTGTGCGTGAAAGTAAAAAATATTAATGTTTTACATTAAGCCAAAATTGGGACAAGTAATCAAAATAGACTTGTGGTATACGACAACAACATACATAAAAGCACATAAAATATGGGTAGTTTTTTTTTTTTTTTTAATATATATCTCTTATTTAATTTAATCTACCTATATTAAAAATAAGGATCTCAATCTTCTGAAATGACTTTCTTGTTATTTAATTCGTTAGTGAGGATGGTTAGACAGACAGTCAAGCACCAACTATAAATTATCACATTTAATTTGGTGAATATTCGACATGTAACATATTTAAATTAATATAATAATAGGGGAAGATTTGGCATGAAAGCTCTACTATGATTAAAAGTAAGAAAGTGGCTACATCTACTAAGGAACAAGTAGGGCTGGTCCCCCCCACTTTTTATCAGTAAAAAACATAGCTGAAAATCTATCACATCTCAAGTGCATTTTGTCACGTGATATAAATGTTAATTGTCTTAAAAGTTTTACCTGATCCATGTTACCAAAAACCAATATTGCTTGGTTCCATCTCCGCCATATATAGCCGGTTTCTGACTACCAAATTTCTCCTATGCATGTCCAGGCAGCTTCTCGTGGGCATCCGTGACAGTGCCCTTGGCGCACAGTAATAGGGTTTTAATTAGTTGATCAGTTGATGGTTAAAAAGATAAGTTTTTTTACTTGATTTTTTGAATTCAATTTTTTTTATCCGAAATAACTTTTTTTAATAAATTCTTTAATGTACATCCCAACTACTTAAGATTTTTTAATGGAATGACCCTTACATAGACAATAGTTCTTCCTTGATGCAATGTAGATAAGCAGATATACCCTTATGATTGAGAATACTGTTAAGGAATTATATAAAAATTAACACAAGTGGCATTTCTTATTATTTGAACTCTTTAGGACAAAAGTTTTCATATATACTGAAAAATATTCCTCCTAAAAGAATGGCTTATGTATACCATTAATTATTTGTTTTCTAGGAGTAAAAATAAACTAATTAATTCCTATATCCTGGAAGACGGAGCAAAAAATCTAGGACATGTCTTTCTCAAGATCCAGATTCTTCCCGGACTTGGGAAAAAACAGAGTAGCACTTATGTGAGTTAAGCAGAAGAAGATCAATCAGTGACCCGGCAGCTAAAATTCGCCGGGAATTCCTGACATATACTAGAAAGTAGGATAGATTTTTTTTCTTCAAAATTTGAATCTATCCCTTCAAAAGTTCCAAAGAAATGACTGATGAGAGTAAGCATCATCTCCAATATGATCATCCTCGTTATAATCAGGTGGCGGCGGCGGCGGAGGATAATAATCACCATCCATATGGTCCAACCCATGATAGAGTCCAAAATGTGATGTATCTCCATTAGACTCCAACGAATCCAAAAATGACCAATCTATAGTATCACAATCCGTTTGTCCAGCTCCACCTTCAGACGATGATGATGTGTAATTCTCCACACGCGACGATGATTCACCTTCCATAGTTGTGGAAGATGTTGACTCCTCATTAGCAAACCTGGCAGCAAGTTCTTGTATTTCTTGCGGATTAAGCGACTGTCCCCCAACAATGTTCGGTGGATTATCGGGGAAATTGAACTTGGCACCACTACCACGTAAGCAATACAAAGCAGCGTCAAATGCACGTGCAGCCTTTTCAGGCGTGTTATAGGATCCTAACCATATTCTTTCTCGGCTATTGGGTAGCCTAATTTCAGACACCCACTTACCCCATTTTCTCTTTCGAACACCCTTGTACTTGGGCTCATGATTTCTATCACATTGTCTCTCTGACGACATTGACGATGATGTTGTTGTTGTTCTAGTTCTTACCATTGTGTTTGCTTACTTTAGGACAATCTAGCTAGCTAGTATGCTATCTACGGGGCTTGGTAGAAAACTAAAACTATACAATTGGGATGAGTTTTTTGTTTTTTGTTAAGGTGGAAATGGGAGGATTGTGGGGTGGATAATGAAAATGGCGGCTGGAATGGAAGGTATATATAGAGAGAGAGAAAGAGAGGGGACTTGAAAATGGAAGGGCTAACCGTGTTGATCAGATTCAGCGGAGTCAAAGGGAGAGAGTTCGGAGGAGCGCGGACACGTGGAAAGAGGAGAGAGGGATGGTGACGTAAGGAGGGACGTAGTAGGGACAGAATGGAAGCACGCGGTGGGTATTGAGACTCAGGTGAGGTGTGGTATTGTGTCGAAGTAAATGAGTGCACGAACTGAAAGGAAAGTGGTCAGGGGGCCACAACTCACTCGCTCTTTCCTCTTTTCCGTAATGGCTTTGCAACTCCAAAGCTTGCAGCCCATGTCTATGGAAGTGATGGTATTGGAATTGAAAAATATTATCATGGAAATTCTTCTTTGTCATGGGTTGGGACATGGGAAAAAAAAAAAAGGAACTTGCCATGTTATTATGATTTATCTTCTATTTTCATGGCGGGCTTTTTGTCACCTACTAGAGAAGAAGGGGACGCTTCGGTGGGGTCCTTGTGAAGGACCTGTCTTTTTCTTGATACAGCAGCATTTTTTTTTTTAATTCGAGGGACCAATGGGGTCAGACAAGTTCTTTTCAGGGCCGCAACTGGCATAAGGAACATGGACCATACGGACCAAGGCACGGTCCACTCCATGTCCAATTTCACTGTCTTCATGACATCCACCCCAGTTGCACGTGGTTTATTGCGTTTTTTTTTTTTTTTTTTTCCTTTAGATATAAGGAAATTAAAATTCGAGGCTTCATACACTTTGCCAGTGAAGTTTAATATTTTCATAAATAATAATAATAAGACTGGACTCTCTGTATATTTTCATAAAATCACTTTATTTCTTAAAATTTTTAGGAAACATATGTTGGTTTATGGATTTTTTTTAAAAATAATAATAATAATAATAAGCAGCTCTTTTGATTGAAGCAAATTCAACCTAGATTTATATTTTATATGAATTTAAAGTATAAAGTTCAAACTCCGACTTACCAAGCTAAGGTTTACTGTGAAAATCTTTCAACTTCATAAAAATCTTGACAAACTTCTATGTTTCATCTCAAAGTTTTTTTTATTTTTTTATTTCATTATTTTTTTTATTTCATGATAGAAGTCGTTTCTTATATCGACACCTTATTAAAGTGTAAAGTAAATTATAAATTAGTCCTTCTAGTTTTTAAAAATGAATTATTTAGTTTTTTTATTTTAAAAATTAATTATTTAATTCTTATATTTTTAAACCTTGTAATTTTATTTTTTTACTCCTTTTCAATTTATTTTATTTTTTATTTTAGAAAATAGAAAAAAACAATGAGAAAAAAATATGGAAAATTGATGAGAAAAAAATGACATTTTTAAAATAAAATAATATTAAATTAAATGTGATGTCAAGAAACTAAATAATTAATTTTTAAAATAAAAAACTTATTTATTTTTTAAAAAATAAAAGACTAATTTATAATTTATTCTTAAAAGTATACGGTAGATGTCACCTGTTGACCTATCCCCTCACCTTACCAAAGAACAAAATACTGTACCTTGTTGACAAGTATAATAAGACTAACTGAAAATGACAGTCGTAGATTTTGGCTTGAATTGTAAAAGGTGAAAAACCTCGGATTTCTAGAACCTAATTATATGATACTCAACGCGTTACTCAACTTGGACTCGTGACCTTGTTTAAAGAATCAGACCAATACGTTACTTTTGCTTGTTGGTTCACCGTACCAAAAATCATTTTGGTACATGCCCGAAACATTTTCCCCATCCAATATAGCCATGCAAAATTAAATATTACTTGATTTATATAGATGAGATGTTTCATTATATAATCTCTAATGGATTTTTACAACATCTTGTACTAACGAAATACTTCAAAAGACGAGATTTTAATTAAGTTATAGGCGAGATGACAAACCCCCATTAAGTTATCCTAAGAGCGTTTCAGATGATTTCACTCAAGACAATAGATTTGAATGACTAATCTCAATTCCATCAATTAGAAATGACAAATCATGCATATATTAAATGAGAGTAGGCAGCAAAAATTAGCTCCATCTAACGTCAATTATAATGTTGTCGTACTCTATATATCAAATTGTGTTATGTCAACATTAAGGATGTTGACAAGGGCTTGTGGGAGAACAGCGTGAAAACAGAAGTCGTCACCTAACTAATCAAAAAAACATGTTTAACAACCTATGAAAGCAGACATTAATTTAACAGTTAAATGAATACATAATTATGATAATAAAGAAAAAATATTTGTTTATAAAATTATGCATAAAATGTATTTATTGCGATCAACGATAATGACCGTAACTTTTGGATCGATTGTGGATTCAATAGGTTTCGAAGCCGATATGGGAGGGGCGTTCTGCTCAGAAACAAAACGATTGTCCCGTTGTGATGACGAAGACATTGATAATGACGAAGGGATAGATAGGCGAGGATGTGGAGGTCTAAAAGGATACTACTCAGGCTAAGAGAAGTCAAGCCACGAAGGGTTTATCGTGGGGGCAATAAGAGGGTACAGAGACATGTCCATGGGGTCCATCCGACCAGGAAAGAAAGGAGAATAGCGTCCACGTCCATAATCACTGTCAGAATCATTATCTGAACCACGACCCTCACCATATACGATGGGCCATTGCATGCGAGAACGTCCCATACCTAAGGGCATCATAACCTACACATTTTAAATTTATTAGTATTAAAATAAAATATTAATTAATACTAACATATAACATTGATATTGTTAACATGAACAATTTCAAATATATTTATTTAACAAAGAACAAATAAATTACAACATGGATGTATAGATATATATATAAACGTAATTAACAAACAAATAAATTAAATTAGTAATTAATTATATATTTTATACAACACTTATATGATATAATTGTAAAATAATTTTCTCAATTAACAACATAATATATTATTTTGAACAAAAAATTATTTTTTAAAATATTAATTAAATTTGAATTGACACCTATATACATATACGTATATATATAAATTAAAGTTACACAAATATAATTAAAAATTTTAATTTGCCTAAAATTGATTAATTTTATTATATATCACTTAATAAAAATTTAATAGTTTAATTAATTAAATTAATACCACTTATGAAATATTTGAAGAGCAATTAAAATTTTTAAATACAAACAATTACACTTAAATTAATAACTAACTAAATAAAAATTATTTAAAACTAACTAAAAATTTATCAATAAATTAATAATAAAAAACAACAATTAACAATTAAATTTCATAAATACAAATAATTTAACTAATTACTCATAGTTAAACAATAAATAATTAACAACAATAACACAATAATTAACAACAACAATAACATTAACTAATTAATAAATAATAAACAACAACATTAACCATTAATTAATCATAATAATTCATAATTAAAAAAATTAACATAAAATTAAATAATTTCAATAAATAAATAAAATGAATAAACTTATCACCAATAAGGAGAGGAGATGCTCGCATCGTGGAGGAGTCATTGCGGTGGTGTTGTCGAAAAAAGGGAGGTGGAGGAAAAGGGGAGAAAGAAAAAGGAAAGAGAGGAATAATGGGGGAGAGATGGAGGGGAAGAGAAAAATAAGAGAAAGGAAGAGATTGAGAAGGAGATTTGAAGGAAAAATAAGGGAGAGGGGAAGATTTGAAGGAAATTGGAGTAGGTTTGTCTTGGTCGGAAAGAAGAAAAAGGTAGAAAAGGAAAAATTTTAGGGGAAATTTGAGTATTTAGGGATTTAAAGATCAATAGTGACCTATATTAGGTGGTTGATTGAAATCGTCGTCAATGTTAGGCACATCGGATGAACTGCGTTGCTATATATTTAGCAACATCCGTCGTATCCGCCTCATCATACCATGTTGTTATCGAGTGTACTCCTTCAACTCATTTGTTGTGGCCAACAACGTTATCACAATACCACCGTAGATCCCGGATCTCGGCTTTATGTGTTGCATGTAGATCTTCGAATTCTTTTCGTTGTGCCTCGTCACCAACATGGAATCGTGAAGTTGTCGAACCGGAGGATGTACTTACGTAGAGTAATAGTGAGATGTGGGTGACTCGAATTCATATATCCTCTTCCTCTTATTATCTCGCTCCTCCTATAGTCTTCCGAAAAATTTCATTAATATTGATCTCGGTCGATGAAGTGCCCTCGGTCCGTCGGCCGACAACCTCCTCGTCAATTATTTTTTCCACGATCTCCCGCATAATTATGAAAGATATAATATTAAACAACTATGTCAAATAATGTTATAAATTAATATGTGTGAAATAATATTATAAACTAATAACTTACTCCAATAACTTTGGACCATTGATTGATGAAGATATATTGATGATCAACCTTTCTCCGATGAGTTCTCAAGAAAACCTCATGAGGATCGAGTTCACGACCCAAAATCTCACGTCGAAACAAATATACGTAAATGTATTAAATATACTCAAATATTTAATTAATTATTTTGATATATATATATATATGACACACACACACCATGCGTATTGCGTGCTCTCCATGGCTGATTGACCCCTCCGTATGTCTTGAAGGACCGGCTCGACGTCGCAATCTCGCTCCTACGGTTCTGCGCCGCCATCTCGGATCGAGCAATGGACTCATGTTTTGCCCATTCTACACATCGTGCATCCCATATGTCATGTGAGATAAATGTTAGCTTCGGGCTTCTCTTAAAATGATAAAGGAAGTCGGAATATCGCTTTGGTACTAGGTTTTCCCATGCTTTCTTAACATTTCTCTCGATGTTATTTTCCCACATAAATGACTTTTGCAAGAAAAATAATGATATTCATTAGTACATTTAATTGGATATTATTATTATTTTTTATTTAAGTATGAAGTAATGTAATAAATTAATTAAATAAATTAGTATCTTAAACTCTTGCCAATAGAATTTTTTTTATTTTCGGACTCATGTTTTTTCATATCCATTCGGATATATGAACATACTCGTGAAAGATCTTAAAGATCCGACAAGCGTAAACAGTAGAAGGATACAACATATGAAAGTAGGCATTAATTTGACAATTAAATAACTACATAATTATGGTAATAAAGAAAAATGATGTTTTATAAAATTATGCATAAAATGTACTCATTGCGATCAACGATAGTGCTCGTAACTTGCGGATGGACGGTGGATCCAATAAGTTTCGAAGCCAATGTGGGAGGGACATTCTGCTCATGTACAAAACGATTGTCCTGTTTTGATGACAATGGCATTGATGATGACAAAAGGATAGATGGGTGGGGATGTGGAGGTCCAAAAGGATATTGCTCGAGTCGGGAGAAGTCAAGACACGAAAGGTTTATCGTAGGGGCAACGGGAGGGTTGTACAAAGGCATGTCCATGGGGGGTCCATCCGACCAAGAAAGGAAGGAGAATAGCATCCACATCCACGATCATTGCCGAATTAGCATTTGAACCGCGACCCTCAACATATGACATAGGCCATTGCATATGAGAACGTCCCCTACCTCGAAACATTATAACCTCCACATTACTAAATTCATTAGTATTAAAATAAAATATTAATTAATACTAACATATAACATTGATCTTGATAACATAAACAATTTCAAATATATTTATTTAACGAAGAACAAATAAATTACAATATGGACGCACTCATATATTTAAACATAATTAACAAACAAATAAATTAAATTAGTAATTAATTATATATTTTATACAACACTTATATGATATAATTGTAAAGTAATTTTCTCAATTAACAACCTAATATATTATTTTGAAAAAAATTATTTTTTAAATAACAAATAATAAATTTACTTAATTAAATTTGAATTGACACACACACATGCATATAATTAAAGTTACACAAATATAATTAAAAAATTTAATTTGCCTAAAATTGATTAATTTTATTATAAATCACTTAATAAAAAATTAATAGTTTAATTAATTAAACTAACTCCACCTATTAAATATTTAAAGAGTAGTTAAAATTTTTAAATACAAACAATTAAACTTAAATTAGTAACTAACTAAATAAAAATTATTTAAAACTAACTAACCATTCATCTATAAATTAATAATAAAACAACAATAATTAACAATTAAATTTTCTAAATATCAACAATTAAACTAACTAATAATTAAAACATAAATAATTAACTACAATAGCACAATAAACAACAAAAATTAACAATTAAATTTCATAAATACAAATAATTTAATTAATTACTCATAATTAAACAATAAATAATTAACAACAATAACACAATAATTAACAACAACAATAACATTAACTAATTAATAAATAATAAACAACAACAATAACCATTAATTAACAATAATAATTCATAATTAAAAAAATTAACATAAAATTAAATAATTTCAATAAATAAATAAAATGAATAAACCTATCACCAACAAGGAGGAGGAGATGTTGCGCCATGGAGGAGCGGCTGCCGATGGTGTCGTCATAAAAAGGAAGGTGGAGTAAAGGGGCACAAAGAAAAAGGAAAGAGAGGATTGATGGGGGAGAGATGGAGGGGAAGAGAAAAATAAGAGAAAGGAAGAGATTGAGAAGGAGATTTGAAGGAAAATAAGGGAGAGGGGAAGATTTGAAGGAAATCGGAGTGCGTTTGTCTCGGATGGAAGGCGAGAAGAAGAAGAAGAGAGAAAGGAAAACTTTTAGAGGGAAAAATCGGGTATTTAGGGATTTAAAGATTTAGCGATCGTCTAAAAATTATCGCTAAATCCATCGCTAATTTTCATTTGAATTCAAATATGATCGTTTCCCTAACGGTTAGAAATTAGCGACGTTCTCCCGGACCATCGCTAATTTCTATTTTTTAGCAACAGTTTTATAAAAAAAAAAACCATTGTTGATTATTTAAAAAAGTTAAAAAAACTTTAAAAAATATTAACGACGGTTATTGAAATCGTAGTCAAAATTTAATCATTTAGCGATGGTTTCTGCGATGATCACAAGATCATCGTGAAATTGGTCATATTAGACTAATTTTTTCTCTTCCTATCGTAAATTTTGGTTAATTAAACTGTCGCTAAATGACACTCGTAGATCAACCAAATTCTTGTAATGTTTTTTTATTTATTTTTCTAGTTTAAATTTTGGGGATTGTATTTTAAAAAATTTAATTGACTTTTTTGAATGCATTGAACAGATGTTCGAAATGCGTTCTTAAAACCATTTGAAAAAAAAATGACTTAATTAATACTGTCAAGCAATTATACGAAAAACAAGTGGCTTTTCACATTATTTGAACCGTTTAGGACAAAAAGTCATACTGAAAAGCATACCTCTCAAAAGAATGACTTTTTGCAATAAATGAACACCATTATTCATTTCTCGGAGTAATAAATAAATAAATAATCAATTCCTATAGATTGGAAGATGGCACAAAAAAGGGCCACGTCCTTCTCACTTTCTTGATTCTTCCCGAACTTAGGAAAAAATATAACAGCATTAATATATGTAAAATTAAGCTGAAGAAGATCAATAGTGACCCGACAGCTAAAATTTGCCTGACATTCTAGACATATACTAATAGCTAGGGTAGATTTTTCCAAAATTTGAATGAATTCCTTCAAAAATTCCAAAGGAATGACCGGTGAGAGTAAGTTTCATCTCTATCGTGAGCATCCTCAATATTATGATCAGATGGGGATGGTGAGGGTGAGGGTGAGGGTAGAGGATAATAATTACAATCCATCTGATCCTGCCCTTGACAGAGTCCAAAATTTGATGCACCTTCGTTAGAATCTAACGAATTCAAAAACGACCAATCTATGGTATCATCACAATCCATTTGTCCAGCTCCACCCTCTAACGATGATGATGTGAAATTCTCCACATGTGATGACGATTCACCTCTCGTAATAGTCGACGATGTTGGCTCCCCGTTAGCAAAATTGGCAGCAACTTCTTGTATTTGTTGTGGACTAAGTGATTGCCCAACAACAATGTCAGGTGGATTATCGAGGAAATTAAACTTGGCACCACCACCACGTAAGCAATATAAGGCAGCGTCAAATGCCCGTGCTGCTTTTTCAGGCGTGTCATACGATCCTAACCATATCCTCTTCCGGCTATTGGGTAGTCTAATTTCAGACACCCACTTGCCCCATTTTCTCTTTCGAACGCCCTTGTACTTGGGTTCATTTCTGTCAGCCTGCTGCTCTGATGACGATGATGATGATGTTGTTCCAGGTTTTATCATTGTTTGCTTATTTTAGATAATCTACCTAACCAGTATACTAAGTAAGTAGATTGATCCAAAAACTTTACAATTGGGACCAAGTTTTTTTTTTTTTGGTAAATGGGAGAATTGTGGCGTGGATAATGAAAATGGCGGCTGGAATGGAAGGGATATATAGAGAGAGAGAAAGATAGGGGACTTGAAAATGGAAGGTCAAACCGTGTTGATCAGATTCAGGGGAGTCAGGGGAGAGAGTACGAGGGAGCGTGGACACGTGGAAATAAGAGAGGGGATGATGACGTAATGAGGCGCGGTAGGGCCAGAAAGAAACTATCGAAGCACGCGGGCTCAGGTTTCATGTTTTGTTGAATTAGTAAATGAATGAAGGTGGACCGCACCTCCCTCGCCCTCTCCTCTTTCTATGAAGTGATGGGTTGGCAACTCCAGAGCTTGCCCACTAATAATCACAGGACCCACCATTTGGTTCCTTCATATTAGTTTTTTTTTCCTTCTTTTATTTGTTTTTAATGTCAGTTATTTATTTTTAAAATCGTTTTGATGGGATCATCATTGTTTTAAAGAAAGTCATATCATTGTTTTAAAATTGTTTTGAGTAGTGCTACATGACACTAGTAATGTCAAAAAAAATCATCATAATTTTATAAGGGTAGTGTTTTTTGAAGAAATACAAGGAATGATACTTTATTTCAATGGGTATTATGTCATTTAATATTTTTACTTTCTAAATTTATCTCTAAACCTTTCTATTTTTAGAAATGGTGTACTGTCATTATAGTATCACCAAGCATTTTCCTATGTAAAATCATGTCAAATGTTATACGAGTAAATAAACAAGTCAAAACTTTTTCGTTAATGTTTTTTTTCCTTCATTTTCTTTCTCATTCTCACGCAAGCAAATCACCGGTTGCCATAACTTCCTAACCGACAACAATCTCCCATGTGCCACTTTTATTAAAGGTAGCTATTTCTTCTTGAATAATTGCTCGCCACTTCGGCTCGATAAGCGCTTCTTATATATTTTTTGAAACCTCTATTTTGGATAATGACGTAGTGAAAGCATGAAATTCAAAAGACGTCCTTTCATAAGAGACAAATCTAGATATAGGATGCTGGGTACATGCCCCGGTTCTTTTTCTATGAGCAATTGGAATATATAAGTCTAAAGTGTGGTTTTGAAGCTCGATATCATGCTGAACAAGTTCATTGGCACTTTGTCGGACTCTTAACCATGCGGAGTTTCAAGGTTCTCCCCTTTTAAGAATGTTTCCTACATAAATAAACAAGTAATTATGGTTAGGAGTTATCTCCTCTTGTTTTCAATGTTTCCTTGTGTGTATTGAGTGACACGATAAGGCTGATTCAATATTAGGAATTGAGGTTGGAATTGAAGAGAGAGACGAGGATTGAATATTAGGAATTGGGGTTAGAATTGAAGAGGGAGACAAGGATAAAGATTCTATCTCAAGTATATCCCATGACCTATATGTTTATGAAATATCCTCTTGAAGATAAGTATTCTGAAAAAAAGATCGAGACTCGAAAAAGAGACATCTATGGACACAAAAACACGACAAAGTGATAGAGAATAACATTTGTACCCACGTTGAGTGGGTGAATACCCAATTAAGACACATTTGATCGATTTTGGGTTTAGTTTAGAATGATTTTCAACATGTACAAAAGTTGTACAACCAAAAGTTTTAAGTGATATAGAGGAAATAGAACGGAAGGTTGGGTAGGTTTTTTACAAAGTTGAGAAAAAGGAGTCAAATTTAAGAACTTGATAGGGCATTCTATTTATGAGGTAAGAGGTCGTTAGAACGACTTCCCCTAAAGATATTTTGGAACATGCATGGTAAACATTAAGGCTTTAACAATTTTAAGGAGGTAATGATTTTTTCTTTCTACCGCACCATTCTGCTAAGGTGTGTCTGGATATGAACTTTGATGGATTATTCCATTAGTTTTAAGGTAGTGTCCAATAATTGTATTAAAATATTATTTTCCATTGTCATTTCTTAATGCTTGGATAGAGGAGTGAAATTGGGTTTTTATCATTGAATGGAAAGTTTCAAATGTTTTTGTAGTTGTATATTTTTCTTTAAGTAGATAAACTCAACAAACTCGAGTGTGGTCATTGATAAAGGTGATGAACCACCGTATATCGAAGATACTTTTTTACATTAAAGAGTCCTCATATGTCACTATAAATTAAGAAAAATGGATGAGACTCTTGGTATGGTTGGATTGGAAAGGATGTACGAATATGTTTAGCAAGATAACAAATTTCACAACTAAAAGAACTAGGATTTTTATTGATAAATAAACTTGGAAACAAATGTTTGAGATAATGAAAATTGAGATGTCCTAACCTACAATGTCACAACATTATTGCATTATTATTGGGAGCGAAGTAGAGTCATTCTCAACCACGGTAGCTTGCTTAGTCACATATTTGTCATCCCCAAAAGAAGAGAGTCCATCTTTTTCTCTAGTATCGCCAATCATCCTCCCTAATTCCAAGTCCTGCAGTATACAAGAGTTCCAAAAAAGACAAGTAATACAATTAAGCTCACGAGTAATCTTGCTAGTAGAGATCAAGTTATAAGCAAGATTTGGTACATAAAGAACAAAATTCAAAGAAATCTCTTTTGAGAGATGGATTAAGCCTTTTCTAGTGACAAGAGAAAAGGTACCATCTACTACTTTAATTCTAAAATTCCCATGACAAAGAGTATGGGTTGAAAATAGAGACAAGTTATCCGTCATATGGTCGGATGCCCTAAAGTCAAGCATTTAAGTATTTGTATATTTTACATGAAGAGCTGTACCTTTATGGGCAAAATCATTAACAACTTGTATTACTCATTGTTTGGTGGTTTTAAGGCCGGGACACTAGGACAAAGAATTTTTTAGGGTTAAGCAATAAATAGTCGATCTGGACAACAAATAGCTGAATAAGAGAACTCGACTCGATACCATGAAAGTTTCTAAGAGAGAAAAATATTTTATTCAACTATTCATTAAGGTAAGACTATACATATTTATAGGGAGAGACCTTTTACTAATTTGCTTTTTAGGAAAAACATATAAATGTCTAAATTATAGTGATAGCTACTATTTAGGAAATTAACCTCAAATACTTAGGAGACTAATGATTTACTTCCTAAAATAGAATGATTTCCAAAATAGACTAATCATACAAGATCTTTCTACAAAAGAGATATATGTCGATTGCTATTTACTTGTTTAATTTTATGAGAGATTTGAAAAAAATATATGTAAAGCTCTTTTTAAAGATATTACTTTGTCTATCGATTTTGTGCTACGTCAAGTTAAGGTTTATGGATATGTGCTTAGTATATAGGCCTAAAAATAGAACTACGGATATGGAGATATCTATTTTTGATAGCTTTCAAGTGTCGGTTATTCCACCAAAGATTAAAAGGGGAATTTTATTGAAATGGAACCCCCTTTATTTAATATGTTAAAACTTCACACTCGATGGATTGACCAAAGATAAGATTTATTGTGATGGTGGTGTCATTAAGGATAACCAAGGGAGGGTAATAACTTAGTTGTAAAATTATTATGGTACACAAATGAACATGAAAGGTGAAACTTTTACACTTCAAGATGGTCTATAATTATGCACGAATTTAGCATTATCACATGTTCATTGAATCGGACTTTTTGATAGCAGTTAATGCAATCAAATACACATATGTCTTAGTAATATGCATACCAAGTATGTCATTTTCAGCATTTATCTATAAAACATAGTTTTGAGCATCTATGGTGATAACAAAATTTTGTTACCTGATGACTTGGCTAACTTTGTTCATGGTCATAGTTCCAAGATTACCTATTTTAGTCAACACTAAAACATACGGGATGTTCACTTATTCATTTAAATAGTGAATGAACAATGTTTAAATGAATAGTGAACTTGTTAGATTACCCTATATTTTACTGTTCATTTGAACAAGTAAAACAATTTTTTTTTTTTTTGCTATCCCTTGATTTTTTTCGTTTTTTTTTTTTTGAAAAATGGTGAGAAGGAAAAGGGGTGCAATGGACATATAATTAGTGGATTGATTTTGGAATTATACTTGATAAGTCACCCTTATTATTAATTGCGATTTCGTGCTCGTAATTAATGGAGAATTCAACATTCATTGAATGTGCTATATATTGGAAGTCATGGTCTTCTAAAATCTTTATTCAAAAGTAAATAATAATACTTTTTTTAATAGAGAAATAGAAAAAAAAATTGATCAAAGTTGAACATATTTTTATTATTTTAAGTGAGTATGGATGTAACTTTTATTTTTATTTTTATATTTATATATATCTCTTCTCAAAATAGATCATAGTAGAATTATTTCTTGAGTATTTTAAATTTTTTTAAAATTTGTGCATACGGATCATTTGTTGTATCACCATAAGCCAAATGTGATGATTTGATTTATATCATAGCCACAAGGAGTATTCTACTAAACATTAAAACATCCGAGATGTTCAATGTTCATTTGAATAGTGAACTTCCCAAATTATCGATCGTTTTACTTGTTCATTTGAACGATAAAACATTGTTTTTTTTTTTTTAAGCTAAGGTTCGTCCTCTTTTATTTTTACCCCATCCGTTTTATTGTTCATTTAAACGAGTAAAACAATTTTTTTTTATATATATATATATACTAGGGCCCTCTTTTGTTTTTTTGTTTTTTGTTTGTTTCCTTTTGCTTTCTATAGCCAAGGCTCTCTTTTGTCTTTTAGTAATTTTTTTTTTATTTTTTTGTAATGGTATGATTTTCTTATAGTTTTTTTTTGTCCTTTATGCTTTCAAAATATGTTTTTAAATCCTCATATTTTTAAAAATATTTTGAAATCTCATGTTTTTAATTTAGTCTATTTTTACCTCGCTTTTTTTCAAAATACACCTTTTGTTCCTCATATTTTATTTAAAAATGTTTTTGGCCTTTTATGTTTTTAAATTT